CCGAAGAGCCATGATATTAGGGTAATGATAAGCCACAAAGGGCTTGCACACAAGAAGATGACAAAATACAAGCAAGCTTTTGCTCTGTACCACATACTTTTACTCAGCTCACAAGCTWACGTTTTCTCCTAACGATGTTACATAAGCGTTTAAGTGATATAAAACTAGTGCAGTGGACCATTAAAGGAATAAACCGTGAAACCACGCTATATTACATAATAGACAGGAGTGATCTAACTTGGCATGTGAAACATTGAACTTTGCATTTTGTATTAAAGATGACAATGATGTGCAAATAGACGACGCTCTAGCTAAAATGGACTAAAATGAAAGCATTTGACGCTAGTTGAAAGAATACTGAGACAGACCCATTCCCAAATTTAGAGAAACTTGACAGGCCACAGAATCTAAGAATATGATTATCATAATATCGATAAGAATTCATAAAATCGATTATTCTCGTCTCTAAATATAACTAAAACCAATCTTGTACTCAGAGCCTTTATTTCTTTGCGCATTAAGAAATCAGCTCTGGGTACGACATTAAATTAAAACTGGCTTTGCGTCTCTCAGTTTTGTGGCTCGTCAAAGTTGGATGCGCATGCGACCTTGCGGAGAAAACAGTCGATTTTAATTGGATGACCACACTGAATGTCGCGATCTAGCCAGCAGGGCTTCGTGTTACGTATGATCTCCGCGTGTTACGTAAGAGTGCGCGCGTCTCCCACCGAAGACAATTATTCAGGAATTTTTTTACGCTTTCACTCTACGAGCTATATTGCGAGAAATAAATTGATGTACTTATATATTATGTCTTCAGCATGCACAATATATATATTTTTACGTATTTGTCCTGACAACTTTTTTGTAAACAAGAAAAAACGAGGGAGACTCTGCTAACAGGGAAGATTCCAATCCGCAAGAACCCCGGAATGATTTGTCCACAATCTGTCGCAATATAAATCAGTTGAAAACACTTGGAAATTTTGTTAATTAAAATACTCGACTTTATTATCATTTGCTGAGCAAARGCAATACACCCGATTGCTCGTTCTTATCAGACGACACTACCGGGATAAGAACACACAAGGACAAAAAGGAAAGGTTTTTGAACATAACTGCATGGTAAATCTTTGAACAAATTTATCTTCGATCCCCAAATTACTCTTTTATCACTTGCTAAGCAAGGACGACACACCCGATTGTTCTTTCTTATCAGGGCGACTCCAGGGATAAGAACACACAAGGACAAAAAAAAAAAAAAAAAAAAGAAGAGATTTTTGACAAAACTGGTAATCTTTCACCAAATCTA